GCATATATTCTATGAGAAAACTACATTAAGTTACTTGATGTAATCACTTGTTGAAGAACTAGTTTACAGAATACGTTTGTTTTCCCAAATGAAATGTGAAGTGACTTAGGCACTTGGAATATTATTAATCTACCAGGACAGCCTAGGAAAACCTTGTATTTCTTTAGCAATTAAAAACTGAGTGGTTCTGTAGGTTTGACATTAATAATCTCATCAACTTTGAAGATAGGATGAGTGAGTTTGTGTCTTCTTTGGGATGTCTTACGTTCTTTCTTCAGGACAGCTTTAACTTTTATTGGAGGTCTGTGTTCTGGAGAGAGTTTGAACCTGTTTTTTATCTCTTTTTAAATTATGAATTATATTCTTCTTTTACTAGAACTGTATGAATAAATACAAATAAAGCAGTAAGAAATGTTGATGTTTGTTGTGCTTTTTGTTAGATGGTTTTGTTTTATTGGTTTTGATTTTTCTTTAATCAAACAGAATAATAAAGCCTTTCAAATCTCGGTGAAGTCTTTTTTTAAACAATCTTCAACTCTTTTTCATTTTCTTGTTGAAATGGAATGTTCTTTATTTGCTTTTTGTCACAGTTCAATTGTATTCAGAGCATTAATAACTGAAAGCTTTGAGAAACGAGGTGTATGCTGCTGACAATATGACCCTAGAAAAATTAATTGAGTTAAAATCAAAACACTTGCTGTTTGTTTGTTTTTTTTCTCACAAACTACCAAATGTGAAAACATAAAAAAAGTGGCAGCAAGACCTTTAAAGAGAAATTTTCAAACTATGGTTTAGGGAAATTTGTTGCTATTATTGTTACACGTGATAAATTAATTTTGTTTTAAGATTTCTGTCCTTTTTATAGTTAGGATCTTTTGTGAAAGAAGTTTGTGAAAAAAATATTTTGTACTGAATTTCCATTACCTATGTACCATATTTCCTGTATTTGTAGATGATGAATGCATTTCTAACTTTCATATCTTGAGCGCGTTTTCTTTACAAGTTTCTAAGACATAACAGACTGCATCCAAGGGTGCTGAGAGAGCTGGTAAATCTCCTTGCAAGGCCACTTTCTATCATCTTTGACAGTTTGTCGAGCTTAGGAGGGATCCCCGAAGAGTGGAAGAAGTTGCATGATCTTCAACAAAAGCGAAAACTTGACCTGTGCAACTGCAGGCTGACCTTTATTTCAATTCCTGGGGAAATCACAGATCAAGTCCTCTTGGAAGCCATTTCCTGGCACATGAAGAAAGTGTTTGGGAACAACTAGCATGAATTTATCAAGGGTAAATCACACCTGACCAAGCTGATTGCTCTTTTATAATAAATTACTAGGTTGCTGGACAAGGGGAGAGCAGTGGATGTTGCCTACCTCAACCTTATCAAGGTTTTTCACTCTGTCCACTCATCCGGAGTTGGATATGTGAGTATAGTGTCCTGACTTGGATGCAAGAATACTATAGGAGATAACCGGATGGGTGAAAAAAAGAAAACAACAACAACAAAACCCAAACAACCCCCCCAAAAAAAACCAAAACCAAACAACAGGTTGGATGATAGGATAGAGGGTACTGGTTAATGGATCATACCGTACTGGAGGCCAGAAGCAAGAAGAGTACCACAGGTCTACTCTGGGATATTCCATATTGTCATTGACTGTGAAGAGGCTATGAAGTGCACTCTCATCAGATTTGCAGATGACATGAAATTGGGAGAAACAGTCGAATATTCTCAAGAACAGTGCTGCTATCCAGAGGGACCTATACAGGCCAGAGGAATGGGCCTACAGGAGTTCTATGAAATTCAACAAGGGCAAGTGCTAAGTCCTGCACCTGGGAATGAATAACTCCTGCCTACGGTAAAGGCTGGGGAGCGGCTCTCCAGAAAAGGCCTTGATGCCCTGGTGGACAGCAAGCTGAGTGTAAACCAGCAGCATTCCTTGGCAGCAAAGAAGGTCAAAAGCATCCTGGGCTGGATTAACAGGAGCACAGATTAATGGAAGTGATTATTTTCCTTTACTTGGCCCTCCTTAGACTCCATCTTGAATAGTCCATCCAGTTTTGAGAGAGACTGATTAACTGAAGTGAGTTCAGTGGAGGGTTGCCAAGGCAATCAGGGGCTGGAGCACTTGCCCTGTGAGGAGTACCTGAGGGAGCTGAGCTTGTTCAGCCTGTAGAAGTAGGATCTAATATCAGCCTGCCAGTAGCTATGAGGAGGTTATTGAGAATACAGAGGCAGGCTCTTTACACTGGTACATGATGGGAGGATGGGGGAACAATGAACATGAGTTAGAACAAGAGAAGTTCTGACTGGATATAAGGAAAAACTTTTTCCCACACGTACAGTCAAGCAGTGGAACAGGTTGCCCAGAACAGTCTCCATCCTGGGAGATTTTCAAAAGCCAACTGGATAAAGCCCTGAGCAACCTGGTCTGATCTCAGAGCTGAGCCTGCTTTGAGCAGAAGCCTGGCCTAGAGACCTCCTGAGGTCCCTTCCAGGGGACCTCAGGGCAGGGATCAGGAAAGCCAAGGCACAGCTGGAGCTGAACTTGGCTAGGGACATGAAAAATAACAAGAAGGGTTTCTTCAGGTACATAGGACAATGAAGGAAGATGAAAGAAACTGTACCCACCCTGACGAGCAAAACGGGAGACCTGGCTACAACTGACATGGAGAAGGCTGAGGTACTTAACAACGTTATTGCCTTTGTCTTCACCGGCAGGTGCTCAAGCCATGCCACCCAACTCACAGAATCCAAAGGCAGGGACTGGGAGAATGAAGTACCACCCACCATAGGAGAAGATGAGGCAGGGTCAAGACCGTCTAAGGAACCTGAATGTGCACAAGTCCATGGGACCTGATGAAATGCATCCGAGGGTCCTGAGGGAACTGGCAGATGAAGTTGCTAAGTCACTATCCATCATATTTGAAAACTCGTGGCAGACTGGTGAAGTTCCCCACGACTGGAAAAGGGGAAACATAACCCCCGTTTTTAAAAAGGGAAAAATGGAAGACCCAGGCCGGCATACAAGGCCGGACAGTCTCTCCTCTGTGCCTAGCAAGATCATGGAGCAGATCCTCCTGGAAACTATGCTAAAGCACATGGAAAATAAGGAGGTGATTGGTGACAGCCAACATGGCTTCGCTAAGGGCAAATCATGCCTGACAAATTTGGTGGTCTTCTATGATGAGGTTACAGCATTGGTGGATAAGGGAAGAGCAACTGATGTCATCTACCTGGACTTGTGCAAATCATTTGATATTGTCCCATGCAACATCCTTGTCTCTAAAATGGGGAGACATGGATTTGACAGGTGGACCACTTGGTGGATAAGATATTGGCTGGACGGTCGCACTCAAAAAGTTGTGTTCAATGGCTCAATGTCCAGGTGGAAACCAGTGATGAGTGGTGTCCTAGGGGTCCCTCTTGGGACCAGTATCATCTTTGTCAGGGACATGGACAGTGGGATTGAGTGCACACTCAGCAAGTCTGCCAATGACACCAAGCTGTGTGGTGCAGTCATCACGCTGGAGGGAGGGATGCCACCTAGAGGGACCTTGACAGGATTGAGAAATGGGCCCATGTGAACCTCATGAAGTTCAACAAGGCCAAGTGC